CTTCAATATGTTCCAAGTTATCAATTCTCAAATCTTTTGATCCAAGAACACTAACAAATTATAGATAATTCAATCAGCGGTTCACACACTTCTTTGGACAGCATACCACGAAGTGCAAGAGGGAGTAGATGTTGCAGAAGAACATGACAATCATGACTTTTCAACCCAGATATCTTGTGATTGAATCTTGTCTCGACTTTATGCAGATACCTTGAACATAGTGTCATACATTCATTTGCAATATAGCCCTCTGCAATACAACCTTCTGGACAAGCTCTATTACCAATGAGAGATTTCAAAAAATATAACCATCTTTCCACAGGATACATCCATCGATGATGAATCGGTCCAGCAATCTTAGCTTCAGTAGCTAAATGAACAGGTAAGTGCACCATGACATCAAAAAATGAAGGAGGGAAGACCTTTTCTAACTTGCAAAGTGTTATGGGTTTTTGTGCTTCAATATGTTCCAAGTTATCAATTCTCAACTCCTTTGATCCAAGCACACTAAAAAATATAAATAATTTAATAAGTGGTTCACACACTTCTTTTGACAACATACCACGAAGTGCAAGAGGGAGTAGATGTTGCAAGAGAACATGACAATCATGGCTTTTCAATCCAGATATCTTGTGATCTTTCAAGTTCACACATTGAGAAATATTGGATGAAAAACCATTAGGAACCTTTAGATTCTTTAAGAAAAGGCACAATTTGTGCTTATCTTCTGGAGACAATGTGTAGCATGCTGTTGGAACTTCAATTTTCTCCCCATTTTGGATGGGGTGCAATTCCAGCCTAATGTTCATCTCTTGCAAGTCTAATCAGGTTTTAATTGTGTCCTTGGTCTTACCTTTCACATTCATGATTGTCCCCATGATATTATCACATATATTTTTTTCAATATGCATAACATCCAAATTATGTCGCAACAAAAGACACTTCCAATATGGAAGTTCAAAAAAAATACTTTTCTTGTTCCAATTATCCTCTCGATTTTCATGTGATATCTTCTTTCTTTTCTTAGGATCTTTTGATAACGGTAGGCCTTCAAGATCTTGCACTTGATTAAGTATCTCAATACCAGAACACACTTTTGGTGGAGGCCTTTTCTCCATTGTACCATCAAATGAGTCTTTATCATTTCTCCATTTGTGATTCTGAGAAAGATAACGCTGATGACCCATAAAACACTGCTTCTTACCATTAGACAATCGAAATGAGGAAGTGTCTTTATTGCAACACGGGCATGCTAATTTTCCTTTTGTACTCCATCCAGATAAATTTCCATATGCTGGAAAGTCATTGATGGTCCATAATAAAGAAGCATGCAACTTAAAATTTTGCTTAGTTGATGCATCATAGGTCTCAATACCAACTTCCCACAACTCCTTCAATTCCTCTATTAAAGGCTGAAGATATGTATCAATTGCATCTCCTGGACCATTTGGACCCAGAATAAGCATTGAAAAAATAAAGTTTTCTTGCTTCATACACAACCAAGGTGGTAAATTATAAGGAATAAGAACCACAGGCCAAATGCTATGTGAAGTTTTTGAATTTCGAAATGGTTGAAATCCATCACTAGCAAGTCCAAGTCGAACATTACGAGGCTCAACCGCAAATGAAGGATGAAGTTCATCAAATGACTTCCATGCCATTGAATCAGCCGGATGCCTCATTATACCATCATCAACTCTTTTATCATTGTGCCATGTCATTAAACTGGATGTCTTTGTAGACATAAATAACCTCTGAAGTCTAGGCTTTAAAGGAAAATAGCGTAAACTCTTTAATGCAATCTTTTTACCTTTTTTATTCTTTGTTTCCCCGCTATGTGTATTTATTTTCCACCTGGATGCACCACAAAACTTTGCAAGAATCAAGTAAGCTATCCTCCTTCCAGTATAACATGCAATCATTAGTACAAGCATCAATATTGTTGTATGAAAGCCCGAGTTCTTTAATTATCTTCTTTGCCTCATAATATGAATTCGGCAAATTGGCGCCATCAGGTAACAACTCCTCTTTTAACATTTTCAATAACATTGTAAATGATGCATTACTCCAACGGCCCATACTTTTGATATGAAGTAATTTGATCAAAGAAGAAACCTTTGAAGCTTTTGAATTTTTGTATTAGGCAACTCGAAATCCTTCAATAGGTTGTAAAATTTTCTTGCTTCAGCATTTGGTTCCTCCTCAGGTAAATCATCACAATCAATATGTGTAGTTCCTCCTTCAAGATTAGGATATAAATCTCTCAACAATTCTTCTACTTCATCTTCACTCTCACATTCTTCTACTTCATCACCATCTTCATCTTCTGATGTATCTTCAAATTTTGATTCTGATACTGACAATGGCTCACCCAAACGTTCTCCATGATGATACCAAAAAGTGTAATTGCGAATTATTCCATATACTATCAAATGTGTCTCAACTATTTTACGAGTTCCTAAAGTTGTATTGTAACATTTGACACATGGACATCGTATTTCATATTCTTCTCCTGTTTTTTGAAAAGCATAATCCAAAAACTTCTGCACGCCGAGTAAGTAGGTTTCATCTAGTCGATTATCAACAAGTTGCATCCACTCCTAATTACTAGGTTCCATAACCTTTAAGAGTACATAACATTTAGATTTTAAAATATGAAGGATAAAAAAAATACTAAGATCCACACAACTAGTTACAATCAGATCCATACAAATTCTTCTGTAAGACCAAATGAACAAAAAAATTCTCTATAAAACCAAATGAAAAAAAGACCTCGTAGACAGATTTTTGATCTTCAATAATATTTGAAGTTGTTGGAGGAATAACCAAGTTAAAGTTTGTATCTTTATCCATGTTGAAAAGTTTGATCCACTTGCATAAGCCTTTCTTGATTCAATTTCTCTTATTCCAGTTGTTGCTGCTAATTTTTATAACAAATTAAAATAGTAGAGTTAATTACCACTATTTTATATATACCTGCAAACTAATGGACATAATACATTCTACTCTTTTTTCCACCTTTCTTAAAGTTAAGTATTACCATTGATCAAGAAGGCCAACAAAAGAGACTCAACTTTGGAAATATATGTTCTTATATTCATAGACAAGGCAGGAATCAGATTGCTCTTCAAATGTGATTATACATGAGCTCTTGCAAACTAGTTCCTATCAATGGAAGGAAATACAATTTTATTGTTTAATCTGGAAAAGCTAAAGCTTGTGTTAAATAATTGGAGGAAAGCCTGTAGGATTAAGCCTCCAACATGCATGGTTAAGACATACATAGATGGTAGTTTCAATACTAATAAATGAGATACTAATCTTTGACATTTTCTTAAGATTTTCGTTGGAATTACACTTGGATTTCAATGTAACAGATGATCACTCTTGCTATTCTTTTTTGTTGTCTCTTTTCAAAATTAACTAAATCTCTAAATCTGTAATTAGACTTAAATGATATCTATCGTAGTAATTTAAACTAATCAATCCAAAAAAGCCCTTCAGAATTTATATTTATATTCAAAGAAATTTCATTGAATACTTAAACAAGAGGAATGGATTAATACCCCAGTATTGTGAATATGTAAGACTTGTAAGCAGTGCAACAGTGAGTCATTTAAGATTTAAACAATAGATTTTTCATAGTCCTACTTCAACCTATAATTCCACAAGAACAAAATCAGTCTTTCACATCTACGTTTTTATACTTGGAGTGTCTAATAGTTACTTGTAACCAAGAAGATGAGTCATTGAATTACAAGTCATATACATGTATATGTCTGTATCATGTATATGGCTAGCAAAATCTCAACACCCATTAATTTTTGCCACTGAAATCATTAACATAGTTAATGTTAAAAAAGATGATGAAGAAGAAGTAACTTGAATACACAAGAAAAAAACGTCATTAATATAACTTATGAAAGAAACACAACAACTTGATCAGAAGATGAACCCACCTGTAATACTGTCTCAAGCAAAGTTGTGTTGGATTCTATTTCAAACAGAGCAGCAACAACTCGATCAGATGAATGAACCCACCTGAAATATTTTCTCAAGCAAAGCTGTGTTGGATTCTATTTCGAACAGAGCAACAACAACTCGATCAGAAGAATGAACACACCTGAAATTTCTTCTCGAACAAAGCTTTGATGGATTCTATTTCGACCAGCAGATCGAGCAACAACAACACAAGGAAGAAGAAGACACCTTTTATCAATTTAATGGAAGAATTTCGTTGAAATTAGGGCAGACAACAACAACATAAAGAAGAATACACATCTATCCATTCAAGGGGCAGAGCATCGTTGAGATTAGGGAAGATTACATTCATTAGGTGTAGTGGTGATCTGAAGAGATTAGGGCAATTTTAGGACAAGCTTCTATTTTGAGAAATTAAATTAGTAGCTGATAGTTTTTTTCTTTTTACTTTTAGACTTAATCTTTTAGCGCCTAAAATTTTGATAAATGAAAAGTTTTCATAGGCGGAAAAGCTTTCCCTCTCAAGCCCCAAAATATGCCTCCAATTACATTTTAGGACTAGTTTGTAACTTTTTTAGGGACCTGATTTAATGTCTTCACAATAACATATACCAATAAGGACCGAAATATAATCTTGTCCCAATAGATATACTTTTAGAGACAAGAATATAGACTCGTCCTTAAATGTTGGTCTTAATTAAGGCTTTTTCTTGTAGTGATTCCAAGGATGACTCTTCGGGACAACATTCAAAGCTTCAAGCGTTTGGAGGGTGAGCCAATCCATGAGACTTGGCTAAGGTTTAAGAAGATGGTACTACAATGTCCAACTCATGGATTGCCTGATAATGTACCGCTGCAATACTTCTACAGAAGCCTCGACTCGGTAAACAAGGGAGTGGCTGATCAAATTTCTCCGGGAGGTTTAATGCAACAACCTTATGTGATTGCAACCCAACTTCTTGATGGCATGACCAAACTTAATCGGGCATGGTACACCGGTGAAGATGAAGTCTCTCCTCTTACTTACAAATTGACAAAGGAACATATCGAAAAAGATCAAGAGAGAGACCAAAACATGGGAAAAATGATAACCCAACTAGACATCTTGGCCAGAACGTCATCGGTTCTGGTACTAAGAGTGTTAATGTTGTCAGTGTTGGTGGTGTAAACCCCGAAGAGGCTAAATTTAAAGTGTTGTACAATGAGGAAGTGAACTTCCTAGCCAACCAAGGAGGAGGTTATCGTGCAAACTACCCAAGGCTGGGTGGAAACCAAGGTTGGAACAAAGATGAGGGCTGGAGACATCGTGATAGGGAGTGGCGTGATCGTAGCACAACTTGGAAGGAAAGAGAAGGGGAGAAGGATAGGTATATTTCTCCCCATGAGCGTCAAAATCCCAAAGATTCGGAGGGTGGACGGACTGAGGATATGCTCTCACGTATTCTCAATAAGGTTGAAGGGTCCGATAAAGTTTTGAAAGAAATGAGGCAAGACGTATCGACTCTCAACCAAATGGTGACCTCTAATTTTGTCTCTATCAAGAAGTTGGAGACCCAAATGGGTAAAATTTCTTCGCATTTAAACCCAAGACAACAAGGGGGATTGCCTAGTGATTCTATGGTAAATCCCAAAAATAAAGCTTGAGTGGGTACTTGCGTCGTGCCACGACATTAACTAGGTGCTTCTTGGGAAGCAACCTAAGTTTTTGATGCTTTGTGTTTTAATTTTGAATAATGGGTGTTGATTGTGCAGGTGGAAAAGTGGAATGTGTTTGAAAAATGCAGGTTGGTGAGCCAAGAGTCTGTAAAACTCAACTTAGAATACCGTTGGAGTTACAAAAATCACAGGTGAGAGTCTGTAAAACTCGACATGCCCATGGACGAGTCGGTCACTCGCCGAACAGGTCGGTGAGCCTGACTTTGTCCATCGTTTGGACCCCCAAATAAACTGGAGGTCCTGTAAAACTTGGCGAGGTAAGTAACGACTCGGCGAGTCACCGAGTGGTTCTGTGAGGACGACTAATATCGCCGAAAGGGCCGCGAAGTGAAAGGTTTTAAAAGGCCAAAGGTTTAAAATTTCAAACTCTTTCATATTCCCTCACTTTTAGCCTCGTATATTTTTACCCACACTATATAATTTCTATATTTTTACATTTTTATTGCTTTTTGGTATTGATCTCGTGCTCGGAGTTGAAATACATTGCCGCCTAGCCTTACAAACTCATATTTCGGCATTAAAAGTTGGTTTTCTAAACCCCAAACTCTTGATTAGCAGTTGAACTCAAATGCATTTGTTTAAAATGTGTTGATGTGTGCTTGTCCTGCTCTGAAATCGTAATTCTGTGCTAGCTTGCCTATTTTAGTACTGTCATCTTGCCTAAAATGCTTATACTGTTGATTTCTCAAATTTTTGCTCTTTAAAGTTGATCATAAATAGTTGGGTTGCGTTAAATTGTTATTGGGTCTAGTTGGGTGAAGTCTAAGTAACCCCAATTGTGCTAAATCACGTACTTTGCCCAATGATGGAGCGTTTGACGCCACTCTTAAGGGAAAACGTCGTCAAATGACCAATTTTGGTTGAACCGGGGGAAGTTTGAGTACCCTGGTGGCATGGCTGTAGTGGGTCTAAGCTTAATTTCATGATTATGTTTTTTTGATTTTGTTTTTGTGGGCTGCATTTTTTATTTTGGTAAATGGGGTTGAAAATTTGCACGTTGGGCAGTTTGGCGAGTTGGGTCGAGCTCGCCGAACCATTCGGTGGTTTGCCAACGTCCCCTTTGATCGCCCTTAATTTCATGTTTCGGTTGAGTTTGAGTCTGTAACTTTTCACGGGAAGCTTGAGCTCGCCAAAAGTCACCCTTGATCGCCCTTTCTGCTCCCTTAACCCCTAAAACACACTGTAACTTTCGGTGGGCTAGTCTGAGCTCGCTGAATGGTGTTGGTGATTCACTGAATGGCCCTGCCTATCACCGACCTGTCTTTTTTTTATGGGAAATTTTCAAGCCAGTCCTTTCGGCGAGCCTAATCTGGCTCGCCAAAGTGACTCGGTGACTCGCCGATCGGTTCGGCGAGTTTATCTACAACCTGTATTCTACACTTTTCTTGAATTGTTTCTAACTATTCCTTATGTATTTTGCATATATGGCTAGACCAAAAGTAGCAGGACGAGACATGCCACTCAGCAAGTGGGCAAAGGGAATCAATATCAACGAGCATGCAGCTGCATCCATAACAAAGGCAACAAAGCTTTCCACTACAGGTGGGAAGGGTAAAAGAAAGGGAAAAACGTCTGCCCTTAAGTCACCGGAGGTTAGCTTCGACATTGAGAGAGTGTACGCCACTCGCCTCACCACTTCTGAGAGTGAAGGTGTGCACCAGGAACCTCATGCTGATATTTCTGAGCTTTAGGATGATAAGTTACTGCTATCCCGTAGAGCTGAAAGATGCTCCAAAAGGTTGAATGATCTATCTAGGATCCAGGTACCGCAGGCCACTACTTCTCCTCCCTTTCCAGATCAGGTTGTGATCCCAGCACTACCTGCACAGGGTCCTCCTCCCGGTCTATGAATAAACTAAAGGTTGAGGGATTGAGGACCATCATTCAGGAGAAGAGG